CCCTCCTCTTTGTAGACTGGACACTGGTTCAAGTCCATCTCGTGGGGTCTCCATGACCTCCCTGAACAAGAGGACAGGTGACTCGCCACAGTTACAGGACATTTTGAGAGATGTTCCATAGTCCCCGGGAACTTGGTCGACCTTGGAGGGCAATGGGCAAAAACAGTCCTTTAAGTCCCTCTGACTACATTAGTATAGGCCTCAAACTATGGCTATTAAACATCCAACAAGGTTAGTTCCGCCAGTCTGGTACTTTTAATTATCATGCGCTATGTAGGCAAGGCTTGGGTAAAAAACCAAATATTCTCAGATAAACTTCGACTAGATATATATTTTGTTCCTTAAACTAGTTGACTAAACTATTGACCATAGAAATTATAAGATTATGTGTATATTATTTTTGTTTCATCCTTTATATATCATAACAAACCTAAACAGACCTTCATCACTTGCTTAGGCTTTCTCATTTTTTCTGTTTATTTTGGAAAATGTGGCCATTTCCCCTATCCTTTTAACATCTTTTAACTTCTCATTTTCTTTTTTTAAAAAATAATTATGAGACATAATGGCATTAACAAATAAGTTTTCCATCTGTTGTGAACCTTCTTTTCCTGGGGATGCTAAGCAATGCTTATTCCCCTTTAATGTTCTAGTGTCAAGCCAATGTTTGATTAAAGTTTTACTGGGGAACCAATGAATTTATTGAGCTTACCAGATAACTGAGGGGTTGCTGAGGTGTATGTATGACCTGATGATACGCACACTGGAAAGTCTTAACCCAGCATGGGTCATACCTTCTCTTTCTAGCCTTCCCCAGATTGTATACTTTAGCCCTCCCCAAATCCAGGGGGCCGTGTGTGATTAGGGTCAAATTACATACTGTTGGCTGGGAAGAGTGGCTGGATACTCCTGTGAGGGTCCAATGACCCTGCTTGACTCTCCTTTTAATTTTTTTTTTAATTGAACTTTTGAAACTTAATACAACATTTCCCACTCAAATCCAGACCCCCTCCCCCATCTATGTCTCCCCCAGCCTCCCAACAAACCCTGTGCACTCTGCCATACATGCAGAGTCCTATTCATTCAGGTGTTTATACCCAAATGTCTTTCAGTGTAAATGTGACCACTGGAGTCTAGTCAGCCCATCCAGTGGTCATATGTAAGTCATACTCTCTCTCACCCAGCAGCAATCAGTTTCAAATAGTTCTCTATCTAGTGCTGGCCTGCCACCTATTTCTCACCTCCCAGCACAGGAACAGTTCCCTCTGCATTACCGTTTGGGGCCCAGAGCCACAGCCCTAGAAACTCTGGGTGCCAATCAAAGGTACCAGTGTTCTGAGGAAGACCAGGCATTCAGCTTTATCTTTCATGTCCCTAAAAGTATTCTAGGTGGAGATGTAGACATATAACCCCCAACTCACAAAAGATCAAGGACCTGGCACTAATCTCCTTAGTTAAAATTGTTCCGTAAAACTCCTCTCCTCCTTGGAAGAAGACTAATTCCACAATTGTTTACATGGCTACTGTTTACTTCTGGAGGCTGGTATTATTCTGATATTACAACTTATTAAAGACAATCACAAAATAATGCAACAATGGGAAATTTTCATCAACCACAAGTTACTTTTATCAGTGCTAAGGACTGAACCCAGTGTCTGTGAGCATGTCAAACCTATGTTCTACCATTGAGCTGTATCTTCAGACTCAATTAGACTTTAATACACACTTTTTCCTAGTGTTGGTGATGGGACGCAGGGTCTTGTGCATGCTAGGTAAGCATTCCACCACTAAGCTGCATCCCCACTCCTTAAATTTTGTTCTTGTTGCTGTTGTTATTTAGAGACATTGTCTCCCTGCAGCTCTAGCTGGCCTGGAACTCACTATGTAGACCAGGCTGGCCTGAATTTCACAGACATCTGCCTGCTTCTGCCTCTGAGTGCTGGGGTTGAAGGTGTGCACCACCACACCTGGCATATGTCTTGACTTTTTGAGATGGTCTCTATATATAGCTTAGGCTGGCCTCAAATTCTCCATTCTCCTGCCTCCAACTCCCAAATGCCTCCAACATGTGCCACCATATCCAGCATGGCTTTTAACGCTGAAGAAAAGATAAACTAGACTCTGAAAAGTACCACAAAAATATTACAACATGACAAAGTAGAGTTTATTTCAAGAATGTGAGGATGTATTGAACATTAGGACATTCACTAATATTCATTATATTAATGAACCAGAGAGAAAACTGATATAAGAATGAAATAGAAGAAACAATTGATAAAATGTAATATCCTTTCCCAATTAAAAGCTTGCAATAAACTAGGAAATTTATTTAAAGATAAAAATGTAGGGGCTGCCAGGTGTGGTGGTGCACCCTTTTAACCCCAGCACTTGGGATGCAGAGGCAGGAGGATCTCTGTGAGTTCAAGGCTAGCCTGGTCTCCATAGAGAATCCAGGCCAGCTGTGACTACAGGGAGACCCTGTCTCAAAAAGATATACATTCATTCAGTTTCCTAATTCCCATCACTACGGAGAGCTTTATTTCTCTGTGCGAGTGTGTATGGATGTGCGATTCTCTGTTTCCTTTTTACTATTTATTATTTTTATTTTATGTGTATGGGTGTTTTTCTTGCACAAATGTAAGTGTACCTCAGGTGTGCAATGCTAAGAACACTTGCTGTTCTTCCAGAGGACCCAGGTTCGATTCCCAGCACCCATGTGGTGGCTAACAACTGTCCTTAACTCCAGTATCAGGGGATCCAAAAACCTTCTTCTGGCCTCCACAGGCATTGCACACATGTGGTGCACTTACATATATGCAAGCAAAACACCCATACGCATAAAATAAAAATAATAGTTAAAAAAAAGAGAAACACACGTCCATACACACTGGTACAGAGAAATAAAGCTCTCCATGGTGATGGGAATTAGGAAACTGAAAATCCAACATCCCTCAGAAAGAGTCTGGGTTTTAAGGGTTTTAGGAGTTTCCCCTCTCCTAATTTTGGATTGGTCAACTTAAACAAAGAAAGCTGGTAGGCTCATGGCTTCAAATGACGAGTTGTCCAGGTCTGGTCTCAGTCTTATCCAAACTGGTTTGGACTAGCTGGCTGGAAAGAGAACCCTGCTGGCTAGAGGGAAAGCCCACAAGCCTTGGTCTTAGACCAAAAAGAAGACAGAAGCATGCCATCTTTATTAACCCTTAGTAAGCCTGTTTGCGTATTGGGGACTTAGTTCCTTACAGTTTAGCATAGGAGTAAGCAGATAACAGAATAGAGAAGAATGTTCAGAAACATATGCTTTGCCTGCATGTATGTAGGTGTGCCACATGCATGTAATGCCTTTGAAGGCCAGAAGAAGGTGTTGGATCCCCTGGAACTGGAGTTATGGAAGATTGTTAGCTGCTATGTGGATGCTGGGAACTGAACCCAGGTCCAAAAGATTTCCATACTATACTAAATCAAAAAAAAAAAAAATCAGGTCCTAAATCAATGGGTATTTTTTGATAATTTTTTTGTTTGTGTTTTGAGACAGGTTCCTGGCTGGCCTGGCACTTGCTATGTCAACCAAGCTGGAACTCACAGAACTCCTCCTGCCTCTTCCTCCAGAGTGCTGGGATTAAAAGTGTGGGCTGCCATGCCCAGCTTTGATCCTATTTTTGAAAATTTGTGACACTATAGAAAGCTACAGAAGGATACATAACAGCTGTTTTGGTCCCCCCTCCTTCCTCTAGGTAGATACTTCCTTGCCTTTAAGAATATCCTGCTGTCTTAGCTCTCTTTACCCAGTGGCTTCAATGGGAGTTCCGACTTGTGGTTAGTCTAAATTTCTTAGAGCTTTTTAGTCACTTATTGATCTCTGTACTTGCCAGACTATACATGTCACACACCCTTTTGCAGTTCTAAATGACTTTTTGCTTCCTGCTCACGAGGACGGGGGCTATTCACAGGTCAGTGTTCACTTCCAAGCTCACTGATGTCTGACCACTAACTGTTAACAGTTAAGAGTTAACTACTTGCTTTCAGTAAGCTCATATACCCTTAGGTAGAACTATTGTCATTTCCAATTTGAAGAGCAGCAAAGTCAGGTTCTGAAGCTTGTCCCAAATGCCTCTGATTTGTAGGCCTAACGTTTGGCCACTGCTACACTCAGTACAAGCTGATAGATACACATAGGCGCTACAGGAAGGTTGGCTGGAGGCTGGATCAGTTGGTGGATGCTCGAGCGGTGAAAAGCCTCCTCATTCCAAAGGGTGGTTGGATTGAAACGTCTTTACAACCCAGGTATCCACAAGCCCCGCCCACGACGTCACCCGCGGAAGTTTAGAGAGGAGCAACGGGGCGGAGCGAGCCTCTGTGGTGGGCAGGACCATTCCTGATTGGCTGCATCCGGGCGGAAGTCGGGAGGTTAGATGATCCAAAGACGCCAGCTTGTGACGGGGAAGGGGGCAGAAGGAAGGCTTCCGTAAAGGGTGCCTTTCTCTCCCTTCGCTCCCGGGGACCCTCGGAAAAAGCCCACCGTCCTGACCCCGCGGCTAGCCCCTCCCCCAGGCTCTCTCCGCTCGATTTCGCACCGTTATGTGGGAAGCGAATCCGGTGAGTAGCCGGGCGGGACGGGGCGGGCCCAGTGGGCGGGGTTGCCGGGCGAGGGGCGGGAGGCATTCCCGGGAGCTCGGCCCCCGACTTCGCCTCGGCCTGGGGGGTTTGCGTTCCGGCGTCGCCCAGGGCCGGGTGTTTGGGGCGTTGCGCGGGCTGCAGGCGGTGCGGTTTGGAGCAGTGGATGTGCTCGGTGCTTCCTCCACGCTATTGCTTGCTTTTCCCGATTGTTTATTTTACTTCCGGTGGTTTCTTCGCCTTCGCTTTTTCCTTTTTAAAGAAATTTGTAGTTTGCTTTCTAATTGGAGTTACTGGCTTTCGAACCTCTTGGTTCCTTTCAACCCACCCCCTATGTCCTCAGTACCCTTTTCCTCTTTTAAGGGGGACAGAACTTAGGGGGTCGACTGTGTGTACTGTCCGGATGGTGACGTTCTTAAATGTTTTCCTTCAGTGGTTAGAATAGTGATCTGGAACAAATCATTTGTTTGCCTTTGGTAGTTGTCTATGTCTGCAGGGCATTTTTGCTACCGTTCATTCATTCATTCAAAGTATAACTCTCCCCAGTGAGATCTGTTTGCCAAGATCATTGAGTTCTTGCGGTATTTATTGATTGCACAGTTAGAACTTAACAACTGACTGGGCAGAATCACATTTTGACAAGTTTCTGGACTTAGTGTGTGAAGACACCCCAGAGGCCAACTTTAAATTTACTTAAAAAGCCCTCAGTATCTATATTAGAAATAACTCTTTTGTTATAATCAGCTTCCCCATCCTCCTTTTGGTTTCTGAAATGTGTATTCCCTGATGTTTTAAAGTTCTTGCCCAGTAGAAATGAGCCTATTTGGATCCAATAGCTTCAGATCATCATAGTAGTGGCCATCATCAAAGATTTTTTTAAATTTATTTTTATTTTTTAATGTATATGAGGGTTTTGCCTCATATGTATGTAAGTGCACCTGTGTTGTGCAGTGCATTGTGTTGAAGAGGCCAGAAGAGGGTGTCAGATCCTCAGTTAGAGTTAACAGGGTTGTTAGCTGCCGTGTGCATGCTGGGAATCAGACCCCATTCCTCTGCAAGAGCAGCCAGTACTCTTAACTGCTGAGCCATCTCTTCAACCCCTCAGTGATATTTTTAATTCATACATATAATACTGTAATGAGTTCTTATCAGAAGAAAAAACTTTCTTGAATGCGGTTTTAGCAAAACAGAATTATGAGAATACTCTGTTTCTGTGTGTTTAGACATTGTTTAAATGTCAGCTGTTTTGTATCTTCATTTTCTATCTATGTCTCTCTATATAGAGAGATGTATTCAGTTTTTATCAGCAGTCCTTTTCTACTGGATTTTCCCATAACAAGCACCAGTCACCCATGCTTATGTTTTCTTCAAGGTCCATGTTTTAACTTTCACTAACTGTCATCTCTACAGGAGCATGGAGTTTTGTTTTACTATATAGTATACTCACCTAGAAAGTAGATCCTCTCACATAATAAATAGTTGCTGAATTCTCAGTGGTGACTGGACCAATAACACACCAAGTTCTCTGCTCACCCTGTCCACTCTCTCTGGGATCTTACATCTGCATTTACTATCGAGCCGTTTATATGTTGGTGAGAATTATAAAGGAGCCAGTGAGTCTCATATTTGGTTTGTGTTATGTCATTATCCCATTTCTTTGTAAGAAATGCTGTTTTCTGTGAAATCACCCTGAGGACTTTTCTTAATTTTTGCTAAGTAAGCTGACTTTTGTTAAATGTAGTGAACTTACAAAACACAGTCTCATTTTTTCCCCTTTGCCATCATAATATGACTTAGTGCTATTGTGTGTGTTTTTTTAAATTTTGTTTTTATTTTATTTTTATGTGTATGTGTGTCGGAGGGAGGTGAGTGTGTGACCACAGAGTTCAGAGGATGGTGTCAGATCTGGAGCTGGAGTTACAGGTGGTTGTGCTGTCTGACATGGTGCTGGATCTGAACTCTGGTCCTCTGGAATACTGTCTCTCTAGCCCCTGCTGTTGTGTTTTATTACCTGCTGGTACTGTTTTTCTTACTGTTAGGCACATGAATGTTGTCATAAGCACAGCTTAGTTTTTATTTTTTGAAAATAAACTTTATGTCTGTGTGTTTCACTAGTAATCAAAGAGTTTCTTTTAATAGAATGGGCATCCAGAAAGCTTGGTTAGCTTTGCTCAAAGAATAAAAATTGTTATCCTATCTGGGCATGGTAATCCCAGCACTCTGGAGGCAGAGGCAGGCAGAGATCGAGGCCAACCTGGTCTGCATAGTAAGTTCTAGGCTAGCTGGGGCTGTAGGGAGACCCTGTCTCAAATAGATAGATAGAATAACAACAATAATAATAATAATAATGTGGACATCTTTAACAATTAAAGAACCACATATTCCCATGTAAGATTAAATGAATACTGGAATCAAATTCTATAAAAATAAAAACATGTACATTTTTCTACTTCTTCCCTTCTGTAGTGGTTTGAATGTGAAATGTCTCCCATAGGCTCATGTATTTGAACACTTGGTCCCCAATTGGTGACACCATTTTGGGAAGTTATGGAATCTATTTG